AAAAAAACAAACAGTTGTAGCTGTTTTGTTGACATTCTGAATGCTTCTAAGTAAATACAGTTTTTTTATTAGAAAAAAAAAAGAACAAAAAAAAAAAAGAAAAAGAAAAATATGCTGGCATATGTGCATCCACCCCCAAATCTAGAGAGAATGAAGGAGAAGGGATTGTGGCATGGCCATTCCCTCTGGGGGGTGATTTCTAACTTTCCCTCTCTTTCTCTGGTGAGTACACCCACCCTATAGCTAAAAACTAAATTAAGAAACTTAAAAAAAACTTCTAGAGCAAGAGAGAGATAGAGAGACAGCATCCAAACAGGGGCTAGCCTTCACAATCTCGCCCTGGGTTCAGCCAGCCCTGGATCGTGGCACACGGCACACCCAAAGGAGTCAGGGAGGTATCGGGACGGCAGCTTGGAACCTGCCCCTGTGAGTCCGCCTTGCAACGCACCTCATTTATCTCTGTGCCACTATGAAGCGCCCAAGATTTGCTTTTCTAACATTCCCTGCATCAAAATGAATGTGTGCACATGCTTTTCAAGAAACAGGGTTCAGTTTTTATCAGATTCAGATTCCCAAAAAAAATCCAGGAGACCTCAGGAGGTAAAAATCACTATAGGGAATTAACCCTAGGGTGCCTCTTGTTCTCCTTCCTTCCATCAAAAAACTACGTGGGGCGTTTTCAAGCTCCCACACATATGAAACGTGAAATGAGAATATAGAGAGGGTCTGCTCACCTCTAGAACCTTATCAGCTCTAGTCTGTGAGACTGGTAAAATATACAAACCTTTTGGTTTGGGTTCTAGGGATTTCTTTTGACCAGAATTTCGTCTATGTTCAGTCCACTTCCTCTTCCGTCCAGGCCTTTCTAGAGTTGGAGAGTTCTGCTGGTGGTCACAGTTGCTATCCTCCAGTTTCTCTTGATGGTGTCTATAAAGTAACAAAAACAAAAAATGTTCCTCTTTCTCATAATGCTCCACTAAAATATCATCCCTCTGGAGATAGCTAAGGGCCTCTTGTCCAGTGTTAAAGAGGAAGCGACCTGGGCCGGCAGATGGCTTGGTGGTTAAGGGCGCTGGACTCCCGCATGGCTGACCACAGTTCAAGTCCCGACCTGGTGGCTTGCTTACTCTCTTTCTCTCTCTTGTTCTCTCTGTCCCTCTCTGGTCAAATTAAAATGAATAAATACAGTTAAATAAAATAGTTCCTTTTTTGAAAAATAATTATTCATTGGGGCCAGCAGGTGGTGTGATGGTTAAGGGTGCTGGACTCCCACATGGCTGACCACGGTTCAAGTCCCGGACCTAGTGGCTTGCTTTCTCACTTTCTCTCGCTCTCTCCCACTCTGTCCCTCTCTGGTCAAATCAAAATAATAAATAAATAAATGGGAACCAGCAGTTAGCGTAATGGCTATGTCGCTGGACTCCCACGTAGTCGACCGTGGTTCGCGTCCTGGACCCGGTGGCTTAAACTCACACCGGGCGCGTGTGCGTGCGTGCCCAAGATCCCAAGAGGAGAATGGAGGAGAAGGGATTGCGGCGTGACCATCCCCCCTGGGGGGTGATTTCTCACTTTCTGTCTCTATGTCTCTCTCTGTCTGTCTGGTGAGCGCACGCACCCTATAGTGAAAAAAAAAAACTCTCCAAAAAAAAAATAAATAAATAAATAAAATAAAATAATAAAATAATTCTTAAAAAAAAAGATAGGAAGGTACTCAAAACATTTAAGCACTGGTACACAATGTACACATGTACAATGTACCGGCTGACACAGTCTGTCAGCATGGTCAGTACGTGGTAGCGCTAGGAAAGTCCTGGGAGTACAGGAAATGGTGGCGATTGTTCTTCTAAGCTTTAATAGTAGGAGTTACCACTAATTATTTATTATGTGCCACACATGATACTACATCCTTTACCATGGGTGATCTGATTACATCTTCTCAACTGCCTGTATTCCTGTCATGGAAGAGAAAATAGAGACTTACAGTGGCAACGCCAGCTCCTAACAGAGTTACTAGAACATAGGAATATTCTATCAGCAATGTGATTGTGTAAATGCTTTTATTACTACAAAGCAACTATATTAGTACAAGCTTTTATATCAGAATGTTCATTATCCCCATTGGGAAAGGAGGGCAATGATTAATCTCCCCAAGGTCATTAGCTTACAAAACTAGCAGAACCAGGACTTGAACTCCAGCACTGTAGTCTAAAGCCCACACGACAGACACTGAAGAGCATGGCTTGATCTAGTAATAAAGACCCACAATGCCAAGGACAAGGTCCTACAGGGACAAGTGCAACGGTAGGTTCTTTGTGCTGCTAAGTCCCTTCACTCCTGAACAGCTGAGCTGAACATGCAATGGGCAGTGAGGTTACTACAAAGTCAGAGAGGGTCGGGTAGGACTAGCATCCAGAAGTCTGGTCTCTGAAGAGTTTTCTGCCCACGAGCAGTGGAGATGCTTCCCCAAGCCTGACAATAACCCTCTTTTTTTTTTTTTTTTAATGATATACAGAGTATTTATTTTACTGTATACATCTCTATTAATGGGAATTATCCCTCTATTCCCAAATATAGTGGCTTATTGTATTTTACCCTTATAAAATGAAAATGAAGTAGGTGTTTTCCAATTACGCTTTGTTTGTTGTTGGGCTAGCAAACAGTTCATTAAAAATGGGAACCTTGGGACTGGCAGGTGGCATGGTGGTTAAGGGCACTGGACTCCCATATGGCTGACTACAGTTTGAGTCCCAGACCTGGTAGCTTGCTCTCTCACTTTCTCACTTTCTCTCTCTCTCCCTCTCGCTATGTCCTCTCTGGTCAAATTAAATAATTAAGACTCCCTCCCATTAACAAGTTTTTCAATAGTATTATTATTACTCCCCAAACACCATAATAATGAGGTGACTTAGATTCTGTTTACAAGAGTATTAAATGAAAAGCAAAATCTTTCGAAGTTTGCATGATAAGTGACAGTACCACGTTAATAGTGTTTTTACCATCCCAACAGCTGTGAAAACCATGAGACTCCATAACTCTATATGTTCCCTTCTCTGTCTTCAAAGCACTCAGGTTTCTCTTTAGGCTGAAGGAGTCACCCAGCACTGGGTCTGGTTTGGGCCGTCCAGCAGGAGGCTTCACAGCGGCACACTAGGCCAACAGTTCAGCAAATGGCTGAGGTGACCGCCAGGCTAGCTTGTCTCTTGGGTTGGGAAGTCCTGTGGGGCTTCTCCTAAAATGCATGTAGAAAGCAGTGCCACCTGGGGACCAGCAGGTGACATGGTGGTTAAGAAATTGGACACTCCCACATGACCAACCATGGTTCGAGTCTCAGACCTGGTGGTTTGCTTTCTCGCTTTCCCTTTCTCTCTCTCTCTATGTCTCTCTCTGGTCAAATTAAAATATGTGAATGAATAAATAAAATTAAATAAATAATTCTTTTTCTTTTTTTAGAAGTTTTTGCTATAGGGTGTATGTGCTCGCCAGAAAGACAGAGAGAGACAGAGAGTGAGAAATCACCCCCCAGGGGGGATGGCCATGTCGCAATCCCTTCTCCTCCATTCTCCTCTCAGGATCTTGGGCATGCATGCATACGCACCTGGTGTGAGTTTAAGCCACCGTGTCCGGGACTCGAACTGTGGTCAACTACATGGGAGTCCAGCGACAAAGGCATTATGCCAACTGCTAGTCCCAATAAATAATTCTTTAGAAAAAAAGAAGGAAAGAAAGCTGTGCCACCTCCACGCACAGCTAAGGTGTTAGAACTACAGGAACCTGAGGAGATGCAGAGGCAATGAACTTACACGGCATGGCCAGAACTACTGTAGGGATGTCTTGCTTGTGTATACATGTGATGATCAATCTTTCCAAAATCAAGGGCTATCACTATTACCCTCCCCTCAAAAACTACAGGCCTGGCTGAAAATGATGTTATCCTTTTACATGAAAAAAACGGGAATCTGTGTAGGTTTACTAGAAATCCTTCATCTACCCATCTCCATGCTTGTGTGCTGGAGTTGAAATCTTAAGTGCCATGATTGGGCCTGTGAGCTTAAGGCTAGCAGCTTCTATAGGGTGTCTTCAACCCACTGCCACCATCTCCAGGCTGACAGTCTGTCTCATCTGAGGCAAATGTTCGTCAGGATTGGGGGAGGATGCCCGAGGTCTTTGTGTTCATGGTCTTACATGCAGTTTCCGGCTGTGAGCCTGAGCAAGCCCACTGTGTGCAGAAGCAGAGGCTGACTGCCCAAAGGCAGGGACTTCCTAGAAGCATATGGGACAGGTGGGTGCGGAGAATCCAAGGTCACAGCAAGGAGAACAGGAGCACTGTGGTCGAAGACAAAGCTTATCACCTTTGTGGCTGACAGATTTTGTGTGGAGCCTCCTAGAGAAGGTCTGGGTGCCTGAGTATAGAACTGTTCCTGTCAGCTTCCATCCTGAAGTTGACTCCGGAACATCACTCCCAGAAGGTCACTGACCAAGACCCTGGCATTGCCTTGGCCTGGGAGGAAGAGAAGGTATGTGGAAGTCGGGGTCTCAGTAGGCAGGTTGGTTGAGAAGCTAAAGGTGAAGGCAGCTGTGTTAAAGGAGGCAGGTGCTAGAGCTCAGGAAGGTACAAGCGCCTCGAGCCAGAAGTCAAGGTCGAGTCTGTGTATGTCTCTGTCAGTCTTGAGTAGGTTAGATGCTGGAAGCGTTAAATCCCATTTATCCTGGATGCTCTTTCTAGTTGTCCTTCTTTATTTAGCTCTCTTCTGCGACTTCTCATGTGATATCTTATTTTTCGAAGTTTTTTGCTATAGGGTGCGTGCACACAGCTTCTGCTCGAGCAGCAGAAAGCTGCCGCGATTGGACGGTGTGACGCCTACGGCTGGAGCAGCTCCTGGTGCTCCATCTGGTCGCTGCAGCGATCACGGGCAGAGCTCCTCTGCCGTTGCCAGTACAGCCGCTCCAGGTGTTGCACAGGTCAGTTCTGGGCCACGCCCTGCTGCTCCTCCACAGCTCTGGCCACCTCGAGCCATGCGTGCCAGCTCCCAATAAACCCTCTTAATAATTTACTGAGCTAGATACCGTCTACTGGCTCCACACCCAATTCTACCCAGAGGACCTCATGGCAAGTTGTAGATGTGATTAAGATTCTGCTGATGAGATTGTCTTGTGAGAGACCGGGAAGTAGAACAGAGGCACAGCCTCGGCTGTGGAGCATGTCACCTCTCACAGCTGAGTGTGGAGATAACACTCCCCTTTCCACCCTCCAGTCACCAACTGCAGGAGTCCAAGGCAGTTCAGCAGCAGCAGGTGTGGTGGCAGAAGCAGAATCAGTTCCTGACCTCCAACTGCAACGAAGGAGGTATGACCTTGAGACACCCAGACTTCTGCTCCTTCTGCTCTTTAGACACTTTTGCCAAAGCACCAAAATCCCTTTCCACTTAAAATACTCACATGGTTTCTATTTCATACTCAGAACCCTAACTGGTCCAGTCAAAAACTGGAAGGTTAATTTTACTTATTAACATTATTATTTTTAAATTTGCTATAGGGCACATGTGCTCACCAGAGAGAGAGAGAGAAAGTGAGAAAGCGAGCTGCCAGGTCTGGGACTCAAACCATAGTTGATCATGTGGGAGGTTAGCACCTTAACCACCACATGATCTACTAGCCTGAAGATTCAGAATTCTACGAAGAGACATTAGAAAAAAAGTTTTTTTAGAAAGCTCTTTTATTTTTATTTTTTAGTTGCTGCTATAAGGCATGTACACTAGCTGGAAAGAGACAGACAGAGAGAGAAAGTGAGAAATCGTCCTCCAAAGGAGATGGCCATGCCACAATTCATTCTCCTCCATTCTCCCCTCAGGACTTTCGGCATGCACGGAAACACACCTGGCGTGACATTCAAGCTGCCAGGTCTGGGACTCAAACCATGGAATTGGCCATGTGGGATCCAGCCACCTTAACTTCCCTTGTCATATGCCTGCCCCAAAAAGTCCTTGTATTTAAAAGTTGTATTGTTTATTATTATTTCTTAACTTCACTAGAGACTGAGAGAGAGGGAAAGTGAGAAAACAAGCCACAGGTTCGAGACTAGAACCACAGTTGGTCATGTGGGAGTCTAGTGCCTTAACCACCATCCTGACTGCTGAAAGCCCTTGTATTTTACAGTGAAGACAATATTTCTTTTCTTTTCTTTTTCTTTTCTTTTTTTTTTTGTTTTTGAGAGTTACCTTTTGTTATAGGGCTTGTGTGCTCACCAGAAAGACAAAGAGAGACAGAGAGACAGAAAGTGAGAAATCACCTCCCAGGAGGATGGCCATGCCAAAATCCCTTCTCCTCCATTTTCCTCTCAGAATCTTGGGCACATGAGCACACGCACCTGGTGTGAGTTTAAGCCACCAGGTTGGGGACCTGAACCTCGGTCTAGTACATGGGAGTCCAGCGACATAGCCATTATGCTAACTGCTGGTCCACAACATTTCTTTTTAGAAATAATTATTTTATTTAGGAGCCGACAGGTAGAGTGATGGTTAAAGCGATGGACTCCCACATGACTGACCATGGTTCGAGTCCCCAAATTAGCAGCTCGCTTTCTCATTCTCCCTCACTCTCATCACATTAAGAAATAATAGTAATAGTAAATAAAATTAAGTAATTATTTTAATTTCTTTTTAGAAATAATTATTTTATTTAGGAGCCGACAGGTAGAGTGATGGTTAAAGCGATGGACTCCCACATGACTGACCATGGTTCGAGTCCCCAAATTAGCAGCTCGCTTTCTCATTCTCCCTCACTCTCATCACATTAAGAAATAATAGTAATAGTAAATAAAATTAAGTAATTATTTTAAAAATTATTTTATTTATTAATTATTATTACTTTTTAGTCTGCTAAAGGGCAGTATGTTTACTAGAGAAAGAAAAAAGAAAGAGAGAGGGGGAAAGTGAGAAAGGAAGCCACCAAGTCCAGGACTTGAACCGCAGTTGTCCATGTGGGAGTCCAGCACTTTAACTACTAGACTACCCGCTAGTCCCAGTCAAGACAATATTAAGATATAACTAGATTTTACTTTTTCTGCCTTTCAACCATTCACTAGAACTGTGTGTTAGTGGTGGGACCAGCAGGTGGCGTAATGGTTATGTTGCTGGATTCCCATGTAGTTGACTGCAGTTCAAGTCCTGGACCTGGCAGCTTAAAACTCACGCCAGGCGCACATGTGTGCATGCCTGAAACCTGGAAGGAAAATGGAGAAGGGTGTGACCATCCCTGCTGGGGATGATTTCTCACTTTCTGTCTCTCTATCTCTCTCTGTCTTTTAGGCATGTACACATGCCCTAAAGCAAAAATCTGTCTCTAAAAAAAACAAAAAAATAACAAAAAAGAGAACTGTCAGTGGTATGTGCAGAGATTTGTTAGTCTCCATATGCTGTCATGGAAGTAGCACACAACATCAGGCCTGTTCATGATCAGGCATTACGTGATCTCCCCTTCCTGCCTCTCTGTTCTATCCCAAAACACTGACGACCATAACATCCTCTCACAACTTTGCGCTTCTCATCTGGGGCACAGACAGGTGAGGTAGGCTTCCTCTAACTTCTAACAGAAATATCTCATAGCAGCAGGCATGCAAACATCTCAAAATATAATGAAAGATATCAATGCTAAGAAACACCTATTCAGGGGCCAGCAGGTGGCATGGTGAAGGCAGCTGGACTCCCACAGGACTGACTACAGTTCGAGTCCCGGACCTGGCAGCTTGCTTTCTCACTTTCCTTCTCTCTCTTTATCTCTCTATGGTAAACTTCAAAAAAATAAAATAGTGACGATAAATAAAATTAAAATAATTCTGGGACCAGTAGTTAGCGTAATGGCTATGTTGTTGGACTCCCATGTAGTCAACCGTGGTTTGAGTCCTGGACCCAGTGGCTTAAACTCACGACAGGTGTGTGTGCATGCGTGCATGCGTGCCCAAGATCCCGAGAGGAGAATGGAGGAGAGGGATTGCGGCGTGGACATCCTCCTGGGGGGTGATTTCTCACTTTCTGTCTCTCTGTCTTTCTGGTGCACGCACACACCCTATAGAAAAAACCTCTCCTTTTACAAAAAAAATTAATTATTTTAAGCAAAGAAAAAAAAAAACCTATTCAAAGGCTCCACCACTTGTAATAACCCTACCCAGAAATGGTATCGTTTCTAACACTGTTGACGATTTTGCTAATCTGTCTGTTCACAGATACAGGCAGCATTGAAACGTGGCAAACAGGAAAGGTCCCCCCACCCATTTCCACAGAACCAATAAAGTTGATTCTACCATAATTACCTTAGCACCTTAACAGTCTCTATCCACTCCTTCTGGAGACTTTCCCAAGTATCAACTTCTAACCATTCTGAATTCTTTGTGGCAAGTTCTGCCATGATAACTCGGTGATGGGCAGGGATGAGTCCTTTCTTCTTATATGCATCACCAACAGGAGAAATTATTCCTTTGATAACTCTGTATTTTCCTGGATAAGGAGTTAGATTTGATATTAAGTTTAACATATTAGATTTGATAAACAAGAAATATCATGATGAATATCTTATGAACTGTTTAATAATCACAGATTTTTTTTTTTTTTTTTTGAGAGGTTTTGGCTATAGGGCACATGCGCTCGCCAGAAAGAGAGACGGAGAAACAGAGAGCGAGAAATCACCCCTCAGGGGGATGGCCATGCCACAATCCCTTCTCCCCATCTAGTCTTGGGATCTTGGGCATGCACACACATACACCAGGTGTGAATTTGAGCCACCAGGTCTGGGACTTGAACTGCAGTCAACTACATGGGAATGCAGCAACACAGCCATTACACCTACTGCTGGTCCCAATCATAGATTTTTTTTTTTTTTTTAATTTGTCAGAGGGAATATGTGCTTGCTAAAGGGAGACAGAGCGGGAAAGCAAGAAGGCACCTCCCTGGGGAATGGTCACACTGTAATCATTCTCTTCCATCATGCCCTCCTTTCAGGCATACCTGCACATTTGCCTGGCATGATTCTAAAGCCTCCAGGTCTAGGACTTGAACCCCATGGTTAGCCGTATGAGATTCAGCTGCCTTAACTACCCGGCCATGAACTGGTACTAAAATTTACCATTTTAACCATACTTATTTTTAATGCTAGGAGACAGGCATGTGTGTGCCAGAGACAGAGACAGACAGGGCAAACAGGTGCAGGATGAGCAGAAGGACACTCCTGCAACAGCCCAGTTAGATGGGGATGTACTTCCAAGTAGCAAATGCTTACTGTGTTCTGATTTCCCTTGCACAACTCACACTCTTGCTTTACTCTGTGCTAGATAATTGAGGAAAAGGGGGCCAGCAGGTGGCACGGTGGTTAAGGGTGCTGGACTCCCACATGGTCAACCACAGTCCAAGTCCTGGTCCTTAGGGCTTGCTTTCGCACTTTCCCCCTCTCTTTCTCTTTCAGTCTGTCCCGCTCCAGTAAGAAAGAAAGAAAAAAGGAGAAAGAAAGAGGGAGGGAGGGAGGGAGTGAGGGAGGGAGGAAGGAAGGAAGAAAGAACGAGAAAGAAAGTTAAATAAAACAATTCTTTTAAAAAAAGAAAAAGGTAATTGAGGAAAAGAAACAGAATTTATTTACATGTGCAGTGTAGGGAGAAGCTAGATCTAGGGAAAAAACTAGTGACCCTAAAAGCAGACAGGGACATGGTGCTGATGCTGCAGGGCAAGCAAAAGGTCCAACAAAGACATGATCTGCACTACAGGGAAGGAAGCTGTGGGCCAGCCAGACAAGGCCAGGAGAGACCTGTCTCCTGTAGAATCATGGGACCCAGGATGCTGCACAGTTGCCGTCAATAACAGAAAATACCTGGTTTTGCTGTAAGAAGTATAAACCTGGGGCTGGCAGGTGGTGTGGTGGTTAAGGGTGCTGGATTCCCACATGGACGACTACAGTTTGAGTCCTTGACTTGGCTGCTTGCTTTTTCGCTTTCCCTTTCTCTGTGTGTGTGTGTCTCTCTCTGATCAAATTAAAAAATAATAATAAATAAAATTATACCTGTTCCATCCATGTAGTCTTTAGCCAGCTCAAACAACCTGAGGTGCATGTTGGTGATAGGATTAAAGGAACCAGAAGCCAGGAGAAGCATTCTCTGAATTTTCCATGGAAATAGTGTGAGGTTGTTGATCTAAATGGATAACTCTGACACCTTCTTTGTTGTCTACAAAGGAAAATAAATAAGTTCATTTATAGATCTTTTTCTTTAAAAAATAATTATTTTATTTAACTTTATTTATTTTAATTTGGGCAGAGAGAGGGGGAGAGAAAGAGAGAGAGAGAGAAAGTGAGAAAGCAAGCCCCCAGATCTGGGACTCAAACTGTAGTCGGCCATGTGAGAGCCCAGTGCCCTTAGCCACCACACCACCTGCTGGCCCCCATTTATAGATTTTTTTTGATGTCCTTCCACATTCTCATTCCAAACAGATTCTTTTTTTAAAAAAAATTGGTTTCAAGGCTTACATTAGATGTACTGCAAAAAATGGCTCCATCTCTCCACGCCACCTTTTCAGTGTGAATAATTCCTACCACAGAGGGGTAGAGTCCATTTCCCCACTCTCTGTATACTCCTTTGGCCAAAAGAATGTGGCAAAAGTGACACTATGCCAGTTCTGAGCCTGGGCCTCAGAGGTTTTGTACCCTTTCACTGTCTCTGGCCCATGGTCTAGCCTGGGTGACAGAGCATGTGAGAGATCTGGTGTTCTAGCCGACGGACAGCAACCACTCAGTATGTGACTGCAGCCACACCAGAGCAGCCATGTCATGGCCACCTGCTCCGGCACATGAGCACATCCAGGTGACAGCAGCTTGGCCTGCCTAAGATTGGCAAGCCCACAGCTAAACTTCTTTTCATGAGCAAAAGCGAATGCTTCCTGGTGTATACCACTCAGGTTTTGTGACTGCACTGTGGAGGCCACAGTTAGCTGATACATGACCATCACCCACCAAACGTAACTCTGCAACAACCTGCCCTTCAAAACAGCATTTCTGCCTCTGGTCAACATAACATTGTCACTTCTCTGGGTACAGCAGATGGTGTTAACGGTTATATCACTGGATGCCCATGTAGTCAACTGTGGTTCAAGTCCTGGACTCAGCGGCTTAAAACTCACGCCAGGTGCATGTGTGTGCGAGTCCAAAATCTCACATGAGAATGGATTGTGGAATGGCCATCCCCCCGGGGGTGATTTCTCATTGCTTCTCTATATCTCTGGCAAGTGCACATGTCCTATAACAAAAATCTCTAGTCTCTTAAAAAAATTGTCATGTTTCACTGGATGATTACTTTATAACCTACAAACCACTTTTCCATTTCTGAGTCCATTTCCTCTTTCCATAATTCTAATGAAGTAATGCAAGAAATCTGATTTTAAAACACTATTGAAAAATTTTATTAAACAAATCTACATATGCATATTTGGAATCATAGGGTGGCAAAGGTTGATAACAAAAACCAAAGGCCACCAATCATCCCCTCCATCCAGCCACGCCACAATCCGTTCTCCTCCATTCTCCTCTCGGGATCTTGGGCACGCACACACACGCACCCAGCGTGAGTTTTAAGCCACTGGGCCCGGGACTCGAACTGTGGTCGGCCACGTGGGAGTTCAACGACACAGTCATTATGCTAACTGCTGGTCCCAATTTATATAACATTTTTTAATGATCTGTGACGGGGATTTGAACCGCAGTCAACTACAATGGGAGTCCAGCAACATAGCCATTATGCCAACTGCTGGTTTCTAAATGGTATTTTTTTTTTTTGGAGAGGTTTTTGCTATGGGGCGTGGGCGCTCACCAGACAGAGACAGTGAGACAGAAAACAAGAAATCACCCCCCAGAGGGGATGGCCACGCCGCAATCCCTTCTCCTGTATTCTCTTCTTGGGATCTTGGGCACACACGCACACGTGCCTGGCGTGAGTTTAAGACACTGGGTCTAGGATGCAAACTGCGGTCGACCACATGGGAGTCCAGTGGCATAGCCATTATGCTAACTGCTGGTCCCTCTAAATAGTATTTTTAAAATAATAGGCAAGAATCAGGGAGGAAAGGAACAAAGAGCTTTGAGCCCTATCTTGGGAATGAGCTCAAGTTTCCTGGTTATCTCAGAGGGAGGAGGTAGTGTTGGGGGAAGGTGATCCTTCAGCACAAAGGAAACTGTATTCTCCTTGTCACATTCATAACTTGTCTCAAATGACCAGTTTAATTCCATGAACACAGCCACCTTGAGCTCAGACTGGACTAAACCCTGAAAGCCACAGAAAACTTAAGGTAGCAGTGAGCTCCTAATATAGTCTGGATGAGTTTATGAGAACTAGGATTTCTCTCTCCAATGGAGAGTACTTCCTCTGTGTGTGTGTGTGTGTGTGTGTGTTGGAGGGGAGGGGCAAAATAATCTGGAAGCTTCCACTGCTTACAGGCCAGCCCACTTCCCTCCAGGTGCTCCAGGACGAGTCGCCATGATTCACTTTTGCTTGGCTCAGATGGCCTATCGCTTGCACTGCTGGCTGCCAAGATCACACAGGCTCAGGCTGTAAGTCTCTCCCCAGCTCATTATGACAAAAATGAGTTCATTTCTTTCCAAGGGAAGCTCAAGATTTCATTCAAATATACCTCTAAATTTACTGATCTTTTTAAGTTTTAAAAACATTGAGGTGGGACCAGCAGGTGGTGTGGTTAAGATGCTGGACTTCCCACATGACCGACCACGGTTCGAGTCCCGGACCTGGTGGCTTCCTTTTTCCCTTTCTCTGTGTGTGTGTGTGTGTGTGTGTGTATCTCTCTCTGGTCAAATTAAATAAATGAATGAATAAATAAAATTAAATAAATAATAATTTAAAAAAACATTGAGGTATAACAATAATGTAAAATTTTATAAAGATTAAGCCTGTTTTTAAAACATAAACTTATCAAAAAGAATAGCAATTTTCTGGTTTTTCTTGTCATAAGTCAGGATGCTCAGCATAATTAAATATAAGAAGACTTTAAAATGTTTGTTAAACAATGGAATTAAACTATGAGTTTATTTTGGTACAAAAAATTTTAAATGCACAGTTGTTCATAGTAGGTACTTTTATGAACACTGTGAAGACTGCTTGTATATGCTGATTGACCTGATCACCTGTCAGAATTTACAGCTCTTAAATTATGCTATTCCTTTTAAATAATAACTAAGCATATAGCTATGTTAATGTTTTCTTTTTTTGAGATTTCATTTAACTTTATTTATTTATGTATTTGTTTTTTATTCTATCAGAGAGGGTCAGAGTGAGAGTGGGACAGAAAGAGAGGGAAAGTAAGAAAGTAAGCTGCCAGGTCTGGGACTCGAACTGCAGTCAGCCATGTGGGAGTCCAACATCCTTAATCATCACATCACCTGCTGGCCCCAGCTATGTTTTAACAGTTCTAAAATCGCTTTACTTTTTAAAATGATTTTTAATTTTATTTGCTATCATTATTTACTATTAATTATTATTTATTTTTAAACAGTAAATCTTTAAAAATTGATTATTTAATTTTATTTATTCATTCATTTTATTTTAATTTGACAAGAGAGAAGGACAGAGACACATAGAGAAAAAGGAAAATTGAGTAAGCAAGCTGCCAGGCCTGAGACTTGAACCACTGTCGGCCATGTGGGAGTCCAGTGTCTTAATCACCATACCACCTGCTGACCCCTACTATTGCTTTAAATACTATTCGGGGTATATTTTAAAATTATATATATTCTTTTGAGTTCCTTTGTTTGGGGACAAGTCTTTGCCTTTGGAGGGTGTATTTGATTTCTGCAAATAACCTAGTCATTCAGTGTTAAACCCAATTAATAAATAACCAAAGTGAACAATACAGTTTATAAGGTGAAGATAAAACTATTAGTTAATGAAGATTTTCTCATGTGCCTTAGAAACTATGTACAATTTCTAGAGAGAAATTAAAAAAAAAATTATCCTAGATTTTTTAAAGAATTGTACTTTCATTTTAAATTTTTATTGTTATTAATTTTTAATAACAGAGAAACAAAGATAGAGAGAACAAGTGAGAAAGCAAGTTGCCAGATCTGGGACTTGAACCACAGTCAGCCATATGGGAGTCCAGCACCTTGCCACCTGCTGAATCCCTAGTATTTTTTTTAATTGCCAGGGGATGCATATACTTGCCAAGAGAGACCAAGGGGCAGGGAGAGCGAGAGGGAGAAAGCAGCTCTTATTTTTTTTTTTTTAGAGGTTTTTGCTATAGGGCGTGAGCATGCGCTCGCCAGACGGATAGAGATAGAGACAGAAAGTGAGAAATCACCCCCCAGGGGGGATGGCTATGCCTCAATCCCTTCTCCTCCATTCTTCTCTCAGGATCTTGGGCACACACGCACGCACACGCGCCCGGCGTGAGTTTTTTTAAGCCACCGGGTCCAGGACGTGAACTGCGGTTGACTACGTGGGAATCCAGCGACATAGCCATTACGCTAACTGCTGGTCCCTACGTCTGGTGTGCTGTTTGAGCTGCTGAGTCTGGGACTCAAACTGTGCAGTTGGCCATGTGAGACCCAGCTGCCTTAAACACTGGCCCCAGAACTACAATTTGCGTCCTGGACCTGGCATCTTGTTCTCTCACTCTCCCTATCTCTCTCAGCCACCTACCAGCCCATATTATTATTTTTAAAATTTGCTATAAGGCACTTGTGTTCACCACAAAAAGAAAGAGTGAGAAAGAAAGCCATGGTACCAGCTGACGGCATAATGGTTACATTGCTGGACTCCCATGCAATCAATCGTGGTTTGGGTCCCAGACTGGGCAGCTTAAAACTCACACACGGTGTGTATGTGTGTGTGCCCAAGGTCCTGAGAGGAGAATGACGGGATTGTGGCGTGGCGACCCCCCTGGGGGGTGATTTCTCGCTTTCTGTCTCTGTGGCGAGCTCACTCACTTTGAACTATAGTCAGCCATATGGGGATCTAGCTATAGTCTTAATTATCATGTCACCTGTTGGCCGCATTTGTGGGTTGTTTCACATTAATCTGTAGTCATGGTAAAGGACCCAAAGTTCTAAAGATTCCCTAGATACCATTATCAAGAGTGCCTGCTATATGGTAGG